CTGGAACTAAAGCGGTGCGAAAGGCCCTAATGTCCCTTCATCACGGCACAGAGCAGCGCATGTTAAAGCGTGCTTTCACGATCCGTTTGATTGCTTGGTCCGAACCGGAGTTCGATCGTCCCGCTGGATTGTGTTAACATTAATGCTATATTTGTTGCTAGGTATCAGTGATGCAGGAGAAGGTGGTAAAACGCACAGCGTTTCTCGGGTCTGTTTTATACATTGGAGACCTCCAAGCACTACGGGTGCCTACCCAGATTCAGAAAACAGTCTTCACATCATCCAAACCCTGACGTCAAATATAGTCTGAAAGCACCCAAAATATCAGATGGGAAGTAATGCGCCCAACGAACTTGAGCACTTCTCAACAAACATGGTAAACAGCTGTTTCTGAGAACTGAATTCTGTCATCAGAGTTTCAGCAAAAGACCCAGCAGTTCTCAAACCTATCCCACACAAGTGAAGAAAAACCTCCTCCATATAAAAACTTCAAGTCATGTAAAGTAGCTCGTGCTTATTCTGAGCTGCAGTCTTCTTGCCCTTTGGATCAAAAAAATCACAGAGTTCCCATTTACAGTGTCTCCATTCACTCTTCTCAAGAGATCTGCTGGAAAACAACATGACTGCCGGAAGCAGAGCAGATCTGGAGTTCATCTGCGGTCTCAGTTAAATCAGGTTCAGTTCACAATCTGAGCGCAGGAAGAGTTTCACTCGGAGCTGCTGCATTTTCTCCGAGACGCATCTAGGACCGTCTAGCTGAACAAAAATACAACAGACAGCCTGTTGCGAGCATCACCTTAAGACAGGAACACACTGGTCATGAGGACGTTACAATCTGAATCATCTCAGTGACGGAAGGACTGAGCGTTAGACATGACAAGAAAGCTAAAAGATCATCATTAAAATACAGCCAGTGTGGAACTACGTGACAGAAACTTCATTCTCACATGGCTGCAAAATATAGCCTCGAGACAAGAGTCGAACCAGCTCTATTATAAGCAAGACTGCTTGACATTACTGTGCATCAGCATTTAGATCAATGTAAGATCAAAATATGCTTTGTTGAATGATTATTAGTAGAAAGCACAGCCTAAATCTGAGAAACTAAATGTGTGTTGTTGTGAGCGTGATGAAAGTGTCTCGAGCCGTGAACGGTTCAGACCGAATTGGTGAACTGGTCTCAATATATTTTCAGGAGACACGGGTATTCATTTGAATACGAAAGCAACACGACAAATACACAGAGTACATTTATAAAGAACTTTACATGCGTTTCAAATGGCATTTTTGAAAGATTTTCTTTATTTATCTTAGCCACTTTTATCACCGACTCAAGATTATCTGTAAATAAGTTATATTTTAATCACACAAAGCTATACTATAATTTCAGAAAACCTACTGTATAGGCTACTTTATGGTGCTTTTTATATATTTTGGAGTTTGGCTATTTAATTTTGGATGAACCACCCTTTTAAAACAAGACAGCGGCAGATGACTGAACCTCTCGGGAAAACGATGCTAATGGAGCAACTTGCTTTAATTTAGCACTTAAACACTCAGAATTAATGACATATGAAACAAAGACTAGGACACAGAACGCATTTGCTTCTGCAGTAAAAATCGAATGCGTTTACGCCATATGTAAACATGTTAAGTTTACATATGTTCACATAATAATCTAATGCAAACACTCCACAGAGCTGAGTAAGCAGAATGAAAGCACACAATTAGACAAAAAACTGCTGCGTTTGCGCTACCAATGGCTCCAAAAGACGTTCACGCAAACAGCATCTGTTTCATAAATCATAACACCTACTGCAGAAATGTTGCTTTTCAAACATGCGATGGCCTCTCAGTGGCGAACGTGTCTGAAAACATGTGGATCTGTGGTTATAGATGGATGTGACAGGACCGGACCCGTCTCTGAATGAATGACGGGGTCAAAGGTCTGTCCAACACAAACGTGATGCACAAGACTTCAGATACTTGGGTCATAACTAGTCTTGGTGTCTGATCATTCAAAACGCTTTCCGTCATTTTGACATTTATGGACAATTATCTCTACCAACATTCTCACAGTAAAGGATGCTAATAAGGATTAAAAGTGAATAAAATAAAGTTTTAAAGCAGCCCTTGCAAAAACAGACTATGAAACCAGAGAATCCAAGTGGAACTGCACTGTTCACTGCGCGAGCAGAATAAACCGCAAAAGTCGAGAGCCTGCGCTTGATGAGAATAAAAGAGCTCCTGCCACAGAAGTTATTTTGATATCAATGCCACACTAAACTTATCATCAAGTGTTAAAACTTACTGACCGAGAAAAACCAAGCATGAAACTAACAGCCAGTCCATTGCAACTCAACAAGCTCAACAAGAAACTTTTGTCTTCAATGGCTCATTACCTGAGGCTTCAGGATCTGTCTGTTAATTAGAGAGCTGAAGACTAAAAAGCTTTCAGAAGCAAAGCCTTCAACATTATGATGCTAAAGGAGCCCAGAGAGGTCAATTCAGTTCATGGTAATTGCTTGGCAGTCCTTGAAAAGACGACTGGTCACACACCTTTTTACATGTGCTGATGCAGACAGACCGACTGACCTCACACATTACCATGAGAATCAGCAGATGCTTATGCAATAATGCACATATGCACAAATAACTATAACTGCAAACATGAGCACTGTATGAGCTAGTATCATTTCTGAGATCTAACTGTTTTACCATACTTTAGTGAGTTTTGATTCTCTGTGTGAACATGGCATTTATTTGAAGTCAGGAATGTTTATCTAAAGAGATATATTAGATCCGAGTAGGGATATAACGATGCACCGCGAGCCGGTTGAACATCTATACAAATATGTGACAATTCAAATCGGTTGAGATGTTAAACGAATCGCCATACAGTTGCGAGTATCTCTGAGAGGATCTGACTGTCTTTAGAAAAGTTTAGATGGTATCTTATTTTCATCTCATCTCTGAATAATGCATATTAATGTAGTATTTATTTAGAAGCGCAAAGGTAACCAAGGAAACGCTGCATCTGCTGTTCCATCAGCGCCACCTGCTGTCAGAGAGTGAATCTGCGTCTCATTCAGAGCTTCTGCTCTGTTTTCTTTCGTTCAAATGTTTAGTGTAGTAGTTTCACAAAGCTAATAGCAGACCATTCTGTTTTTGCTTCATATTTTGAAATCATACAATCTAAACTGTCCATGCTGTATGTTTGGATCGTGATTAAAATCCAGTGGTTGGCTCTAATTTTAAATGGAAAGAGCACAGGCAAAGCCTTAGTTTATATGAAGAGCTTTCTGTTATTTGTATTATTTATTTGACTTTTAAAATGTCAATTTAGTTGTTATTCTACATATTTGAATTTCACAAAGAAATGTACAGCATTTTCTCCAAGTAATAATAAAAGGACACCTTTTCACTTATAATTGGTCTTAAATCTCATTTTGTTCAAAAAACTAAATCGTGAGAAAACCGTATTGTGAAATCAGTATCGTGAATTGTACCGCATTCTGCAAAATATGTAACTGATCTTGAAAAACTTTGCATTTAATTAGAAAAAAAAATGCAACACAGAAGCATTGATATGCAGTTTCAGACTTCGCTTGGAAAACTGTAACTAGAAGTTTATTTCTAGAGGCCTCCATAAACACACATGAGCTCATCTTCACCCTGCAAAGCTGATTATCAGTCGAGCAGCTGCTGTCTCTCTGCAGAAACCACACATCCACCGCTCCATCAGACAACAGATCTAACGCTAGATACAACAAGCCATATACATGATATATAGTAATAACAAGATAGATAGATAGTAGGGCTGCACGATAAATCGCATGCGCACCTGCGGGCTTTCACATTGAGCAGCATTAACTACACAGAGCCGTTGTTCACTGACGAGCTGCGCTAAGAATCGCGCGAATATGAACGTGGTTTAGCGCAGCTCGTCAGTGAACAACGGCTCTGTGTAGTTAATGCTGCTCAATGTGAAAGCCCGCAGGTGATGGAGATTTACCGCTCATTACAGAAACAGCTTTCTGACAAGATGCGCGTTAAATATCGCATGCGATTAATCGTGCAGCCCTAATGGATAGACAGACAGACAGACAGCTAGGACAACAGAGCGACAGACAGACAGAACGAACAAACGACAGACAGAAAGAATGACAGAGGACGAACACAGCAAATGAACCACAGACAGACAGAATAAACGACAAATAGAACAAAATGACTGACAGACAGACAGAATGAACTAAAGACAGACAGAACGTACAAAAGAGAGACAGAACAAAAATAACAAACAGAACGAATAACAGACAGAACAAATAACAGACAAAACGAACAAGACAGAATGAATGAATGAGCGACAGACAGAAACAACAGACAGAAAGAATGATAGAAGTACTTGTGCTGTCCAATCTATAAAGACTGTGCTATTGTCATTTTGCATTATTGACACACTATTTTCCTAATTAATGCTGTTCAGTTGCTTTGACACAATCTGTATTGTTAAAAGCGCTATATAAATAAAGGTGACTTGACTTGACTTGACTTGACAGAAAGAATGAACAAATAAAAGACAGAATTAACAAATGACAGACAGAACAAACAAATGACAGACAGAACAAACAAATAACAGACAGAACGAACAAAAGACAGACAGAACAAGTAACAGACAGAATGAATGGACAGACAGAATAAACAACAAAACGACAGACAGATGGGTAGGTTCTATCAGGTCTGATGGATGTGGCACACGCTTTAAGCGCATCCCACGCTTCAGATCATCGCGTCAGACAAAAGGCCGCTGTGAGGCTCACATGTGCTGAAGCGCGTTTCTGCCGCAGCGGCTCACGCCTGACTCCTCGATCCTGATAGGCTCTTCCAGACCGAGTGCAACATGTAGCACAGGAAGGAAACTCTGATTCGAGCAGGCCGGAGCGGAGCATCTCACGGCCTACAGCAGCATCCACATCAGCAAACACAAACGCCACACGTACCTGCAGCTTCTGCGCCGTCGTGAACCGTAGGTCGTGCACGAACGGGTTCCTGAACGGAGGAGGCAGCTCGCGCTTCTCCTGTCCGTCCGCATGTGTGCTCTCGATCAGCCTCATCCTCGACGAACCCCGATCAATTAAAGCCACCAGAGCGCCGTTATGTCCGTCTCTGCGTCCGGTAGGCCTGTGGATTCCGCTCGAGCGCGTTATTATCTAGCACTCCCGGACCTCGAGGAGGGCTGAGGGGTTAGGCGGATCATGTATTTGACGCTCGCTTCTCTTTCCGTGTGCGCAGCAGCGGCAGCAGTCAGTCTCAGTCTCAGTCCCGCTGGATGTCATGGAGGGGCAGAATCCTGCCGGCGGTGCGCATGCGCGAATCCTCCTCCGCTCCGATGGGACAGGGCGGCATAAACGGGTTGCTGGAACACCAACAACTGTTCTTCTCCTCAAGGGGGCGCGCTGGTGCTCAGAAAGTCGCATACTTACCACATCCCAGGAGTTTTTTCTCCCTCTCTCTCTCTCTCAATGAAGACATTTTGCGCTAAAAAGTTTCAATAGTTTAAATGTATTCAGTTCTAGGATTAGTATCTGACATAAAAATGGAAATTCGGCCCGGAAATGTCCCTAAAATAGATTTTTAAATTAGGAGAAATCATGATCTTGTAATCACAAACGGCTGTGATTGGTCGATGCTGACCATCGATGAGAAACGTGACGTATCACGTGACAGCCCTTGCTAGTGGCGCTTCAGAAGCAATTCCTATATAATTCTTCAGTGAATCTAAAATACACAGAGGGAAATAAAAAGAGGGCATGCGTTATATTGACCCATTTAAATTAGTGAACACAAAACCCTGTCTGTTGTTTTCACACACTTCTTCAATTCTAATACAGTTTGCTGGCATGATATTGGCTCTTACTGCTCATTCAGTTTCTATGGATCTGAAAAGCGGATGTTTTGTACTGTAGTTCAGGATGCGGCCTCGAGGGGCGCTAGAGAGACATGCCAATAAAAAAGAACGTGCGATTGGAGTCTGAAACGATTTGGTGTTAAAACTGTTTTAAGATTATATGAATGATGTGTAAATATGAATTGAGCCTGTACATTGTCTTCATTTGCTACTTTTTAAAATGACTTTCATACATACATTTTATTGTTTTACCCTTGTCTCAGATCCAGGCTTCCAATCATGAGAGAGAGAGAGAGATTATTAGGTGTTTAAAGCTATGAAAATCTGAAACAAAGTTTTTCAATTTATGTTTCTATCAATTATTCAAAGCTGGCCCACAGTTATGGGATAATTTCCACCACACTGAACAGTTTTGCACCTAATAAAGCTTTATTTACCAAGAAGACAGCAGAGACAGTGAAGAACATGCTTGAAATGTGAGACATGTGAAGAACACAGAACAACTATAAAATCAATGTCAGTTTCACTTGTGAGCAGAATATTGTATATTGTGCATTAATTCAATCAATTAACAAAACGTGCACTAAAGAAATCATTCCAATGCTTGATTACTAAAGAAACAATCAAGAGCAGCTTGAGATGAACTGATAATGTGTGCAGAAAACCTTTTTTTTTTAATCAAGAAAAATGTTACTTGTAAAGGAATGTTCTTATTGTTGTTTACAATCAAGCTGTAATAAACAAATGTTTGCGAAAGGTTTTTATACTCCCCAGTGCAATTTGTTAAACAGGGTAAAGAGAGGGCTCATCTTCAAATTAATACTGGTAAGTACTTTCCCACATTTATGGATTGCTTTACAGAAGTTTAACAAGACTAGTTTGCACCATTTCACACAGAAATGGTTGTTATATATTTGACATGAAAGACATGAGTATTCGGTAAACAGATTAAGGGGGGATTTTGTTTTCCTTTCTTGGTGGCAGAGTAAAGATCAGACTGATGTGTATATTGAAGCAGTGATGCATTGGCATTGATCTTGCAGTTCAGTAAATCATATGCTGATTCAGTAGACACTCTGAAAGATTCAGTGAGTTCATTCAGTGAAAGATTCGTCAAACTAGTAACTGAGTTAGTGAGCCTGTAATGTGTTGATGTCCATTGGGTGTCCTATTCATAATGAATGGTGCCTCTGTGTTCTGACCATGCAAAACATTTTGCTAGGGTTAAATGTTTTTCAATGTTTCTTCCTCATTGCACCTTCCTATTTTAAGGTTAACCAATGTTACAACACTTGTACAGTTAGAACATCTTGATGTTCATTTCTTTTTTTTTTCTTTTTTTTTATTATTTGAGACTCATATGTTAATAACAATGTTGTCTTTTAAACCTGTTGTTGGCTGTTGATTCAGGACAGTGTGCAATTTTAGTTTTACTTCATCTTACAGCTACATTTGACACTATCATACATGAAATTCTTCTGGAGCATTTAAGATTGTGGGCAGGGATTCAAGGAAATGTTCTTAACTGGTTTTTGTCATATCTTAAAGGGACAGCTCTCTGTTGAATTGGGAATTTTTTCTTCCTCTTCTGCTCCCATTTAATGCGGTGTTCCACAAGGATCTATATTGGGCCCGGTTTTATTTTCCATTTTTTTGCTTCCGCTGGCCGATATATTTGTCAGAAACACAATATATCATATCACTTCTATGCTGACAATACTCAGCTTTATCTCCCTATAGTTAGGGTATAACTTGGCTGTACATTCACTCGTGGGTTGCTCTAATGACATTAAGAAGTGCAAGAAGTTTTCCCACCTGAATGAATCAAAGACTAAAGTGATGCTGTTTGGCTCTCCGAGTTCAATTAAACATAAAATGAATCGACTAGGCCTCCTTAAGTCTGAGGTACAATGGAGCAAGCAGTCTTGGTGTTGTTTTTGATGCTGAGTTAAAGTCTGATAAGCATATTCACCTTTTTTGTCCTTTAAAGGGGTCATATGATGTTGCTAAAAAGAACATTATTTTGTGTATTTGGTGTAATGAAATGTTTATGCGCGGTTTAAGGTTCAAAAAACACATTATTTTCCACATACT